AAAAAAAAAATGATCAAAAATATGTCAACTGGTTGTCGGCTACTAGGTGCTCCTTAGTATAGACTCCCAGAAGTGATGATGGGGAAGAAACAGGGGTATCTTTCGGATCGTAGTCTACAGCAGCAACAATATGAGAAAAATTCAGATTAGATTTGATAACTAGGAACTATATGAGTTAAAAAGACAGAACATAACTCTTAAGATGCTAACAAACGACATCATCCTCATTAATTTTGTGCCTATTTGGTCCGTATTCCCACCGAGAAAAAGCCGTACCAGCCACAATGTCTTTCATGCAGATATTCTTAAATGGGTAAAAGAAAATGAAGTCTCAAAAAAGGAATCGAATATAAACTCTGCGGTTGTACTCCCTACTGAACTTTGGCTTTTAAGCACCGTAACGCTCTACATGGGAATGTCCAATAGAGCAAAGCCGCATGGAGAGTCAGTGGGACGACTGCATAAGAAGCGGCCCAAATGTGATTTGAAGGAGACGTTGTTCTGCTTGGTTGATGGAATTGTAAATAAAAGCTGCTTTACCCATGTCATTGAAAACAAAGACTCGATGGGTGAAGTCATTCCCAGTGTAATGAATCAGCACGAAAACAAGAAGTGTGGATCGGTTCAGGTCCAAACAACATGCTAGCGCCGTTGCTGTTATACATAGTTCGAACTGAATTTCAACACTTTCAAACGTTCGAAATCACTAGGGAAAGACGACGGCTGATGACAAATAGTCATGAGAACCCTACTTGTGATATGCACTTTGACTTCAACAGGAACCGTCATCAGATCGGAACGAAACGTAGCGATGCACAACCCTAACATTATTCGCTTTGAAACTTGAAGGTGATTCCAGATGTCATGCTTTGGAGAGTCCTGGAGAGTTCGTATTAAAGAAGAGACAGAGTCTACACATATGCCGATAGAGTGCCTTAGGGAAGAAGTCTTTTTTCATGGCGTGGGTTGGAGAGGGAGGGGAGGGGAGTCTGGTCTCGCTCCAACGCTTTCAAAGCAATATACTCCACTTTGAGGAAAGAATCGACAAAAATCTTTCAGAGGTTTCTGCTTTACGACTGGTTCCTTATCATCTTTCACGTAGTTCTCTGAAAAAAAGAGAGTAAAACTAGCATCACTGCATTCTGGCCACGTAGTTCTTGAGTTCTGCTCGTTCTAAGAACCCGTCAGGTTCAAAGAGTGTCTGAGTTACCCCGTCCTACTCGTTTACAATGATACCTGGATGTTTGCTCAATTGTTGACCGCAGATAACACTGAACACGATAAGCGACACCAATCGATTGCTGACCCAATCATTTTTCTCCCCGTTCCACAAAATATCTCCCATTCCTTCCAATTTTTTTTNTTTTTTTTGCGTGTCTGCGATTTTTGACGTATGATTTGACATTAAGACCGTCACACCATAGGAACAGTGGTTTGTTTCATCGAAGATAAATGAATTTCTAGCTGCACAGCATCTTCGGAACTGATCTTTAGGCCTTGAACCAAGCGAATTATCTGAGCTTACACATCGACAACCACGACTTGTGTAATGCTCTCAAAAATAGTAAATACTCAGAGAAACACAGTAATTTACCTGATGTCTTTCCCAAAAGCGGGATAGAAATAACACTGTTGGTGATTTTAAGAAACATAGTGGAGAACTTTACACTAAGGAGCGTCAAGTGTCTTGTCAAAACAGCGTTCTGCCCTTTCCGTCCTTCATAATCACCAAGAATGTAAGCGAGGGTTTTCAGATTACTGGATCCCAGCAAAGCTAGAGCTGAACATATTATTTCCCTCGTATTCCTCAGTGGATTTCATGGATCCAATATATTCCACCTCGCAACAACCTGCGGAAAAAGTTGCTACCCGTAATGATGACCTCCGCATGGAATGTCCTTTGCTACAAGCGATTTCGCTGCAAGTGACGGGTTATAGTGAAAAACCCGAGATGGCGGAGCAACTGACAAGTCGCGTGGAACTGACGTCACTTCCACATTTTACTTGTACGTCGTTCTTTTCACAATCACAACAGCGTTTCTGCCCTTTCGCCCTAAGTCGCCAAACTCGCAGAAAACGGTTCAGAAACTTACGAGATTCCATTAGAGCTAGAGCCAAATAGGTAACCATCGAATAAGCACGGGTTCAAGCGAGTGGAAAGTCGCGCCAGCATGGTAGTCATCGTACTTGCACTGCTTCGATCGCATGCTAAACCTACCGCACCAGATTCCTGGTCAGAAAACACTATATTGAAGCAATCATACAAGTCAGTGGATAACTCACTTCCAATAACTTTCACGAATTTCGGCCTCATCGCATCGCGTTTTATGTTGAATCATTATACTCACATCGATTTGCTCGATTTCGATTCATTTCCTTGAAATCATTACTGATACTCTTTCATATATCATTTTACTTACGTACAGCTTGAATTCTGTAGATGTCGGGAACAGCATTCACAAGCCTCCGTGAACAAATTGAGCACTCCGACAACGTGTTCCTGAAGCTGCCACACATATTCAAGCCCCTTCAAGTGGTAAGCTTCTCTACCAAAAAAAATTGATCTTTATTTCTATCAGATGTTGAGCTAGTGATAAGAAATCTCCCATGGGTCGAGCTACGTAGGGTCAGCCCTGACCGATATCAATTGTATGGCGAGTATCACATAAAAAGGTGACTCTCCTTCCAAAAACCAGTGACCTAATACCAGTTTTTGGCCCTCTGCAAGGTTCTCAACAGCATTATCCAACGTCCCCTTGACCGCTGTCCCTTTCTTCAATAGTCTGGCAGACCGACAACTGGCTCATAGCCTTCTCGCACGGATTCCACTTATCATGATACTAGTTCCTTCATCAACACTCTCTAGACTCCACATGTCTTCCCTTTCCTCAGGGACCTCAAGGAGTTACGCTATGAGCTTTCTAGGCCAGATAAACCCCCTATATATTTGGGATTGCTCTCACGGCTCGTGCAACACACCATTCCTGCTAACATTCGTGGGAGGGACGTATGGAGTTTTGTCTAAAAAACGTTTTACACGTATGGAACATTAAGGATATGGGTCAATCTCGGTACAACTCTTAGACCAATATATAGAATACGTTGGTTCCATATGTTCCACCCCAAAACTAGGATATCGTTCTTCTAACAAAGGAGCGCATAGGGAGCGTTTGAATATTCAGGCCATTCGGCTGTGTAAGTCTGATATAACTTTGACTTGAGAATCTCATGACTTCAATCACTCAGAACTTTAAGAATTTTGCATTACAGATATTCCACCACTACGGTACTTTTTTCTAAAGTGTAATAGGAATGAAGACGCATTGCTGAACCAAAAAATCCCAACCCTCCCATAGTAGAATAAGCCTCACTGACATACTTCACCCTTTATTCTGTTTTCGTGTCTGTCATGAGTACCGCAGAATAGTTGGTAGACGCAGCGATTATAATTATCTGAGATTCTTACATAAACAACTTTGAGGTGACGATTCTCGAGGTAACAGCTCTCGAGGTTGGAACTGCTTTACTAGTATTCTATGATTGACTGCTAGGCATTGCCAAATTAAAAGCGCCATGGAAAAGCGCCTAAAAATTAATCATATCGAGAATGCTCTGAACGTTTTGCCCGGAAAATATTAATCCTGTGGGCGGAATTCTTGCATTAGGCTAGCTAGCTGCATGGAGCGAAAGTAGGCGGAATCATTGATAATGCAAGGCAATGATGGCATCCTGACATCTGGTTTGGCGAAGGTGGGGTTGAACCAGTAGGCATCCGTTCGGATCAGTCGAGTTTCCTTACCTTCAAGATACCAGCTGGTGGCAGAATCGTCTAAGCGGATGAATACATCAGTTCGGTCGAGGCCGTTGGGCTTATACGCCACATACGCACTACAACATCACTACGCTCTGAATCGGAGTCGGCCTGGGCCCGAATTCTTGGCCGTATTCCAAAACTGGACTAAATTACTACAAGACTTGCTAGAGTATAGTGGAAAAACCCATCCGTCGTGGACTTGGCAGTGCTTTGGTCACCTCCCCACAGTATAAACACCAATCCGTACATAAAGTGAACCCCCTGGTTGAGTTCTGCGCAATACTTATCCATTCACTACTACGGTCATGAAAGGCGGGAGCGCATCAAACACTCTTATTTTTACTCTTCAAAGGCAGCAAGTTCCGTGAGCGGAACTAAATTTTCCTTCATATGCAACTGAGTATCAGCAATTTTACAGCTAAATGCCATCATTCTCGCAATCTGCGTTGGTTCAACGGCGGGATCCGAGAATGGCGTGTTGTGGTTCGTCATTGTTACTTCCATGATAGTGAGTTCCCACAAAGAAATAATACCAGAAGGTAAATAAATACCAGACGTACAAGAATATACAAACATAGGAAAGTTTTCCTTATTGCTGGACATTTTTGGACGATACAGGTACCGTTTGAACTACAGAGCGTTGGGAATTTCGATAGACGCATCGTAACTTATGAGGCCAATGGCACTTTCAACTATATAGCCCTGAAATTTCTAGACGATACTCACGGATAAAACTCGAAAATATAGTATTTAATAGTTAGAAAGTACACTAATTACAAATCGTACACATCGGATGTACGATACTTCAGAGCCATCAACACCATTCATTTAGATCTCTATAATTGCTACCGTACTTTTGGCGCTCGGCCTACAAGACTCCCTGATGGAGAGCATCACAAATGGCAGTGTGCCATGGAATATCGTTGTAAGTTCTCTTTGTTCCTGAGAACATCACCAGTATAACATTTGAGGTGCCTGGACAGCATTACTGTAGCTGTTACATTGACCGGTCTTACCGTTTTGATCAGGGGAAAGCATGCCATCATGGAAGCTGAACGACCATTTCTAATCTGCCCCATTTCTAGTCTGTGTTTCACTTGGCAGTCATTCATGATAGTTGATGCAATTTCAGATATAAAGCTTAGGGGATGGCGTAATTCGTCGACTGAGGTCCTACTCTGTTTTGTAGCTAGTTGACTTTGAAACTGAGAAGAACTGGCTCTCCTGGAAAGCACCTCAATTTTCTTTCTTCTGGAAAGAGAGGTGACTTGCCAACGCAGCTTTGGAACTTTTCAGGAACTTACCTACTCGTTTATTTTTGCGGTACTGAGCGTTATATGTGTATGGCTGTCATTCGGCTTCGCCAATCGGCATCTTGGTGGAACGTCAGCAGGCTACATTGCATCTGGAGTAAGTTCCTTCTTCTTATATGACTTTGTCGAACAATTCAATATTTCGCAAGCGTATAGATGCAGTGGCATGTGGGCGCACCACCACACGCATTCACCAGGGATCGAATCCCGACTCGATTCTTGTTCAGGACAGCAAAGTCCAATTTCTTTCAGGATCTGTTAGTAGGATCATCAGAGAAGATAAAAGCCCTTAGTTGTGCATTGGATGGCTACCGTAAGCCATTGTATAGGTCACATCCGCCCACAAACGCTGTTACTGTTCTCATAGCAAGTCGAATGCAGGGCACAACCTAAGAGCGGAGCTCATTAACACTCAAGACTTTTTGACTTTTTAGACGAATATTTTCTATGGCCTCATGGTTCTATCAAAACTTGTCATCCATGAGTTCCCATCTCTAGATCCAGTGGGTCCACTGTTTATGAAACTTCACGAATAATCTTTTTGTGATGAATATTGTATAACTAAAAAATCCATCGTGAATCCTCTGATGCTGCACAAATGTCATCTAAGGCACGTTTTGTAGAGAACATGTCCAATTTGCATCTGTGAGGAAGGCTAGAGACAAAACTCACCTGTAATTTATTATTTCATATCGATAGCTATCGATAACTCATAAGACCATTGAGAAATTGAACTTTCCGCGATGAATTGTTGAACGGCTGTAGGCGCGCATTGTCATTGTCGATCCAATGCTCTTGACGTCGCTTCGCCATTGCTCTCCAACTTGAACCCCGTTCCTGATAAGTGGGCTCAATTTGATATTAGTTACTGAAACAGCTCTAACAAGGGAAGGATCCCAAGCCGAAGTAGTGGCCATTAAATGAGACTTAAGCGCCATATGAATTTTCGGACGCTGATTTCAAACATGCTTTCCAAATCTATCAAACGATTCTCTAAAAGACGTTATATAGATGATCTCAATAAGAGATCTTGTAAAAGAACCTACAAGACAACGTGCGAAGCAAGTGTTCAATGAGGTTGCCCAAAGCGTTCTTTAGGTATTGAATACAAATAACACGCGTACTTTTCAGTGGAGAATTCTCCTTGGTAGATGTGCATTCAAAACCTGATCAATTCGGACTAAAGCGAGGGAGATGTCGTGGTCAATAAGTTGGCCACGAGATTCACAGAGGGTGTATATATAGCACATAAAATGGCAAAAATACACTGGTCTCGGTTAAGCGAAGTGGCTAGCTGGCCCTACTTTCCCCTCTCCCGCCAAAGAAGTGTGAGAACTGTTTTTGGAAACGCACAAATTTGAACATTCCTCCGCTGCTTCATAAGTAACCGCTGTTCGGCTGACCATTTGAAATGCGCAGTAAAAAAAATCCAATTTTCTCTCATTCCTACCATCGATCACTTATTTATTGTAAGCTTTCAGTTGTTCTCGATCGTACACGCTTCACTCTACTCCATTCCGTGTGCGATCATCTACGACTCTGTACATAATAACGGCCTGGAACCGAGCCCTGTTAATAATATTCAAAGCGCACATCCGTTCCGTGATGCTCCTTATCAAGATCTTTGATTTGAATAAAAATCTTTTCGAGCAGTCGCTCACACAAAGCAAAAACAAACAACTCCGGGACAACGCTCAAAAAGACAGTCAGGAGGATAAGTAGAATAGTTTGAACTAATTATAATGGTTCGCTACACTAGCAACAAGCACGACGTCACGGAAAAAGCCTCTTGTAGTACGATTCTACTAAAAATCCTGCAAAACGACCTTTACTTTTTAATCTATCGAGCTTAAAGGAAACGGTCGGTGGCACGGCAAACAAAATGTCTTATTCTGGCAGAAATTCAGGAAAGTCGCACAGACACAAGTTTGATGTTATACTGACACCTTGAGCACGTACTACAGAGACACAATCTTAACTCGCAAAGCAATCAAAATCAAAAGTATGTACAATTGCGCTGAAATACCAAAATCCCCTTCAGAATATTACGTAAGCAAAAGAATGCTGGCATATTTGGCCACGGCGATCGGACTACACGAACAAATAAATGGTGTAATCAAAAAATCATTGCGTGGGACGAAATGCTTACACATCACCATATACTCATGGAAACTCGTGCAAAACTTATTCTTCTACTTGTTTCACTGAAAAAGAAAACTCTGGAGCAATATAAATTCAAAAATATTCCATACGCTTCAGGACCCCTTATTATTGATCAGAACATGATATGTTGGCGAGCTCTAAGCTCAAGCCAATTTTCAGATTCAACTAAGCTGATAGATGATATTACTGTTACATTGTATTGTATCTTGTCGGGCGCTATTATCAAAAATCACCCTGGCAATGACATTGTTGTTCATATCACAAAAACGATTAAGCAATTAATGTAGGAACCTGTCTACAAGACTGTTTCGTTTTCCACCACACAACCCTAACACAACACCAACCTATCTGTTTATTAAGATCAGTGGCGTATTCCTAGAAAAGTGCGAAACGAATCAATTCTGTGGGTTTCTTAAGTTACTAAACAGGACCAGCCTTTTTTAAAACTAAAAACTATGATCACTCATCATAACCAGATGATAACAGAACGAGCAACAGCATAGTTGATATATAAGTTAACAACTGAATCGTAAAACTTACAAGCGTGGGATTAAGGAAGAATGACTCGTTTCTAAAGGCAAACTACCCATCCGCAATCGGTTAGCCGACTTGTCCGTCCATTCCGTACAAAACTTGGAAAAGTGTGCAACCATTCTTACTCCATTGCTCTTTCTCACCAAACACCCACAAACAAAAATACCGAGCCATATAGTAATGAACCAAGCTCTGAAATGATTAGATCGTCCAACTACCACAGTGCTTTACAATATCTATGCGAGAAATTCCTTACTCTAATCACATCAGAAGGGAGCTCTTCAATCACTTCATCGCTGACCTTGAACTTTTTATTTTTCAGCACTTCTTTGACCTAAAAGCACAATCTTAGCGGGTGTTTAAAACGAATAGTAATGGAATTTCAGTGACAAAAAAGTTCTAAAAATCTTCATTAACGATTCTGAGGATTCCATTCACAAATTAAAAAAGTATTGTATAGCATTCGGAAAAAAATAAATTAGTAATAGACTATCTCTGTCCACGGCTCCTACGGCCCTTGGTTCGTTTTCTGAAACGAAAACCAATGTGTGGGGGGGGGGGGGGGGGGGGGGGGGGNGGGGGGGGGGGGGGGTTGGGGGGAGAGAAATTTGTGGCTCGTATACAGGGTGCCGCTTCAAAAACAACTTCAAGGGAGAAAAAGCCACTAAATAGCAAGCTCGGGACCTCCATCACATGATTTTCATTCTCCTAGGCTTCCGCACAATTTAATAGGCGCTGCTATGGAAACGATAATTACTTCAAACGAAAAAAGTGATCAAAATGTAAAAAATAAAGAGAGCTAGTATTCGAATTGAACATACATGAATTAAGCAGTTGTGGTAGATGTTCCATTTCATGTGAATTATGTCAAACATAAACTCGAAGATTCCATTGTGAAAGTAGCACAGGCATAACAACTGGAAAAAGTGAAATCATTAAATAAATTAACAAAGTCGGTCACATAAGAAAGCAGTTGCTTAGATTTCGAAAGAATCAATACTTCTAACAAGTTGAAATTTTGCTCTGCTGCAAAAGGTTGCAGCTATAACCCTTCGAAATACTAGCTATGCTTCAGATTCAAAAGGGATTGGAGAAAGGGAATGAATCCCCGCTTCATGAAGAGGGAAATTCCTGCTACTGGGTATCAATGGATACTGACGTTCGAGTCAACCCCCCTCCCCTACCCTTCCCCACTGATCGAAAGTTTGTGCTGAATTCTTTTCTTATGTACAATTTTTCGCAGAATAACCTACATTTTGTACCTTAGTTTCACAGCTCAACATCGTATAGAATATCTCCGATTTTGTTGTAATATATGGATGCGCCCCAGAAACTATTCATAAGGAGTACTAAGACTGTAACCAGACTCATCAACGACATTTTTAGCCACCCACAGTTAGCTTCAGCTACAATGACTGCCAAGGCGGTCGTGCACTTGCAGTTTCTATCGTAGTCAGTTACATCGGTGACTAGGATAAATTTTACACTCAACCTTTGAACTACTCAAGTACTAGCGAGTTTTCAAGGATTTACTTCTTGAGGAAACAGTCAATATAGTTCGCTGGGATCTCCAACCTGAGAGGAAGTTCTACTTCTTCAAGCTGCCCAGTTCGGAGAACGTTCATGTACACAGCAATTCACTACTCCTCTTTTGTTTGTAACTACATTTGTTTCGTTAGAAAATTTGACATATTTGTCGAAATGGCACGTCTTGAGAACAATAAATTGAATAAATCATTACCTTACTAGGTGACTCGTCATTATTCGGCATTTCAAATCTTTCACTATAACTGCCACCTTCTATAATCAGGTAATTGACATCATCATGAGTTCCAAGCGCGTGCGGACATTCTGGTACCTTAAGACAATTAGTTTGAGAGGAGAAAAGGCCGGTCGTGTACAAGAATAGCTTTTAGGCTTGGATATAGTACTGGTAAAAACTGTTTCAGAAAAAAATGAACTAGTAATAGTAAAAAGCTCACCTGACAATGTGAATAATCACCCGGGATTCTTGAAACTAATGTGTGAGCCACATGATTAGGAAGGAATGCCTAGAACGATTGTTTTTCATCAACACAATAAGATCTGCTTGATTCAACTGATACAAGGAAAGAGTAGAAGGATAGGAACAACGGGCATGAAAAATGATACTATCCATATTTTATATCCCATAAATGGATCCTTGGTTAGCTCCGCCACTAGTGAGACCAGTAAAGGAAATGATTGCAAGGTCGTACCCTAACAAAAGCTACGTTGTGTGCTGGTTTAGATAGAAGTTTAGAACGTTAGAGCTTGAAGAGGAAGGGAGGTTATGGGGATATAGGGATGAATCTCTAGTGTGAAACTGTTGGTGCCGCGTAAATGGGATGTGTCTTTATCATTTCTTATAGGCAGTCGATGGCTACTTTCAGAGTTCGACGACCGTCCGTCCGTCCGTCCGTCCGTCCGTTCAGCTCGTGCCGCGACGGCGGTCGCTAGAGTAGTGTTGACAGCGCTGGCAAGTGATTCAGTGTGTCGAAACGGTCAGGCGCCGCCGTCGCGGCACGCGCTGAACGGACGGACGGACGGACGGATGAATCGTTGAAGTCTGAAAGCAGCCGATGAAAGAAGGCATATGAGAG